AATCAGAGAAATATCACCATTCACAATAGCCACAAACAATATAAAATATCATATGGTAACTCTAACCAATCAAATAAAAGACCTATATGACAAGAACTTTAAGTCTTTGAAGAACAAAACTGAAGACGATATCAGAAAATGGAAAGATCTCTCATGCTCATGGATAGACTAACATAGTAAAAATGACAATCTTACCAAAAGCAATCTACAGATTCAATGCAATACCCATCAAAATCCCAGCACAATTTTTCAAATCTTGAAAGAACAATATTAAATTTCATATGAAAAAAAAAAAAACCCAGGATAGCCAAAACAACCCTCTACAATAAAGGAACATCTGGAGGCATCACCATCCCTGACTTCAAGCTCTATGATAGAGTTACATTAATGAAATCAGCTTGGCATTGGCATAAAAACAGACAGGTGGACCAATGGAATCAAACTGAAGACCTTGATATTAACCCACACACCTATGAACACCTGATTTTTGACAAAGAAGCTAAAAATATAAAGTGGAAAAAAGAAAGCAGCTTCAACAAACGGTGCTGGTATAACTGGATGTTGACATGTGGAAGAATCCAAATAGGCCCATATCTATCACTATGCACAAAATTCAAGTCCAAATGGATCAAAGACCTCAACATAAATCCATCCACACTGAACCACAAAGAAGAGAAAGTGAGAAGCAGCTTTGAATGCATTGGCACAAGAGAACACTTCCTAAATATAACAGCAGTAGCACAGACACTGAGAGCAACAATTAATGATGGGACCTCCTGAAACTGAAAAGCTTCTATAAAGCAAAGGATATAGTCAACAAGACAAAATGACAGCCTACAGAATGGAAAAGATCTTCACCAACTCCACATCGGACAGAGGGCTGATCTCCAAAATATACAAAGAACTCAAGAAACTTGACATCAAACTACCAAATAATCCAATTAATAAATGGGGTACAGATCTAAACACAGAATTCAACAGAAAAATCTCCAATGGCCGAAAGGCACTCAAGGAAATGCTAACATCCCTAGTCATCAGGAAAATGCAAATCAAAACTCTGAGATACCATCTTATTATACCAATTAGAATGGCTAAGATCTAAAACACGGATGACAGCTTATGCTGGAGAGGATGTGGAGTACAGGAAACACTCCTTGATTGCTGGTTGGAGAGCAAATGTACGGTCACTTTGAAAATCAGTACAGCGATTTCTCAGAAAATTAGAAATCAATCTACCTCAAGACCCAGCAACACCACTCACTTTTGGGTATATACCCAAAGGATGCTCAGTAATACCACAAGGACATATGTTCAACTATGTTCATAGCAGCATTATTCTTGCCAGAACCTGGAAACAACCTAGATGCTCCTCAAACGAAGAATGGATTAAAAAAAAAAAGTGGTATATTTACACAGTGGATGGAGTAGTAACTCAGAAGTAAAAAAACAATGACATCTTTAAATTTCCAGGCAAATGGATAGAAGTAGACAAAACCATCCTGAGTGAGGTAACCCAGATCCAGAAAGAAAAATACAGTGTATACTCATTCATAAGTGGATACCACACATAAAGCAAAGGACTACCAATCTACAGTCCACAACTCCAGAGAAGCTTGACCCCTCTTCCAAAAACAGATGGAAGCAGATGCAGAGATTTACAACTGACTACTGGACCGAGCTCCCGGAGTACAATAGAACTGAGGGAGGAGCGATAATATGAACAAAGGGGTCAAGACCATGATGGGGACACCCACAGAACCAGCTGACCCCGAGCTAGTGGGAGATCACTGACTCCAGACTGACAACTGGATAACCTGTATAGGACCAAACTAGGCTCCCTGAATACAGGTGACAATGATGTGGCTTGGGCAGCATATGGGGTCACTGGCAGTGGGACCAGGATCTAACTCCAATGCATGAACTGACTTTGTGGAGCCCATTCTCTACAAAGCGATAACCTTGCTCAGCCTAGGCACGGGGTGGGGTGGGGGGGAAAGGCCTTGGTCCTGCCTCAAGGACACGGTGATGGGACAGACTTAGATGACCTGGGGGGGGGGCTTACCCTCTCTGAGGAGTGGATGGGGGGTGTGGTGGGGGGCAGGTGGTGGGAGGAGATGGAGGGAGGGTTAACTGAGATTGGTATGTAAAAAATAATAAAGAAAAACAAAGACAAAAGCTCTGAAATATCCTTTAATTGAGCACGAGCTATGAGACTCAATGCTAGCCATCACACCTGCACCACTCTGAAGCTGAGCTTAGGGAAAACCTGACAATCCTGAGGTTGTTTCACTGTCCAGTAGACAGAGCACAGGCTGCAAATCACTGGAGAGACAAGTCTCTGGCCATGTCTGTGAGGGATCATCCAGATTAGGCCAACAGAGGGGGAAGACCCACCATAAATGTGGTGGTGCCATTCCTCAGGCTGGGTCAAGACTGAATTAAAAAAGAGTGAGATGAGCACCAATAGTCATTGCTCTCTGGGTGTGATGTGAGCCACTCTCTCATGCTCCTCCTATCACACGACTCCCCCTTCATCACGAACTGTAACCTCGACCTGTGATCAGAATGAATATACCCTTTCTTCACTAAGCTGCTCTTGTCAGGTAGAGCGCAACCGATACAGCACCACGTTCTGTATGACTTGACAGGGCTGCAGAAAGAAGCCCGCGAACACCAGTCAGCCCGTCAACAGAAACTATTCTTTCCCAGAAACAGCCCTTAGAACCCTCTTACTTATGAGACAGAGCTTTCGGATCAGGTTATCTCCAGATACAAAAGAGAAAACACCAAAAAGAAATCAAAATGGCTTGACTTAAGAATTATATAAAGATTTTTGTAGTCATACATCTTAGGAAAGCCTAAGCGGTGGAATTAAACCATAAAGCAGTCAGGTGTGGTGGTACACACCTTTAATCCTAGCAAGGGAGGGCAGAGATTGGCAGATCTGAGTTCAAGACTAGCTTGATCTACACAGCAAGTTCAAGGACCGACAAGGCTACAATAGAGACCCTGCCTCAAACAATTGTCAAAACCATAAGCGAGCAATTTTGTAAGTAATTTTCAACGGGAGGTGGTGGCACATGCCTTTAGTTACTGCACTTGGGAGGCAGAGGCAGGAGGATCTCTGAGTTCAAGGCCGACCTGGTCTGTGGAGCGAGTTCCAGGACAGGCTCTAAAGTTACACAGAGAAACTCTATCTCAGAAAACAACAACAAAAACAAATGAACAACAACAACAACAAAAAAAAAAAAACCCCAAAGCAACCAACCAAAAAGAACCAAAAAGGCCAGGCGGTGGTGGCGTGGGTGCAAGCCTTTAATCCCAGCACTTGGGAGGAAGAGGCAGGTGGATCTCTGTGAGTTTGAGGTCAGCCTGGCTTACAAGAGCTAGTTCCAGGACAGCTAGGGTTGTTACACAGAGAAACCCTGTCTCAAAAAACCAACCAACCAACCAACCAAACAACAAAAACCCACTAAGTTATTTTTAAAGTAGCCCACATCAGAGGTAGGACACTATGATAGGAACATTTTCCTCCTGCAAAGATAAAGTGTGAATACATGCACATTCCCCCTCAACAAAGACATTCTAGTACCAATGATCCACAAGGCCGTGACAGACTGTCTCAAAGTCTCTGTTAAAGGAAATCAATGAAGGACTCCAGACAGGAACTAACAATGAGGCCCTGGAGGGGCACTGCTGACTGGATCACTCAGCCTTTCCTAAAACACCCAAGACCACAAGTCCAGGGGTGGCACCACCCATAGGGAGCTGGGCCCTCACCCATCAATCATGAAAATGAACTACAGCCTAGTCTGGTAGGAGCATTTTATCAATTCCCCCAATGACTCTGGCTCGTGTCAAGAAAACAAAACTAGCTAACACACAGACACTAATTGCAATTTTCTGATAACTACTTAACATAAGCCACCTGGGCCCTGGGCATCTGGCTCAATTAACCCTTATATAAAATTCAAAAAGAACTCTTCATAAAGGTGTCGTAAGGAGAGGCAACAAGGGAAGTAAATGAAATGTTTATCACACCAAACTACATCTCTGCTTCTTTTCGTTCTGTTTTTTGTTGTTTGTTTGTTTTTCGAGACAGGGTTTCTCAGTAGCTGTGGCGCCAGTGCTAGAACGCACACCGTGGACCAAGCTGGCCTTGAAGTTACAGAGATCCGCCTGCCTCTGCCCCCTCAAGTGCTGAGATTAACGGCGTGTGCCACCAACGCCCGGCACATCTATTTCTTAATTCATTGAAACCAACTGAAATTTTTGTAAGCTGAAGCTCCTCCTTCAAAAATGCTCGGGCGTGTCTTAATTTTTTTTTTTTGTAATTTAGAGTATTTTTATTCACATGTCTTGCGGATAGCACAAGAGTCTAAACATGGAATTCATCGTATACACATACCCTGAAAATTTTAAACAGTATTTCCGATAATTTTTGTTTTTAATATAACAAAATGTTATGGTGTGGAATTTTCCACTTGTAGTACCATGTCGGCACTCAAAAAGCTTGGAATTCGGGATGCTTACAAGCTGTACTTCCCAAGCAAGCAAACCCACAGGACTAAAGCCCAAGAACAGCCACAAGCTCGTCACCGAGTATCGACGTTGCTACTCAACCCAACTATTTTAATTTCAAAATAGCAGTCACAAGAGTAGCTTTCTGGTTCTCCACCTCGTCTAACAAGCCATCCATCAATGTCGTCTTTCTGCTCCTAAATGGGTTTCGCTTTAACTTCTCTCGGTGGTCTCGGTTTCCTGCATCGCAAAATGAGCGATCATCTCAGGATAAGGAATGCGACCGGCCCGGGTTTCCCCGCAATCCCTCCCGGCTCACTCTCTGCAAGCCGCCGCTGCAGATGCTCTGGCCGCTCCAGCCTCTCCGCGGCCTTCGGGTTCCTGCGTGTTATCCCCGCTGTACATGGCCCGCCACGGTCGGGCTCGGCCCCTCACCTCCCTCCGGCAGCGCCCAAGGCCCCGCGGCGCAGCGCACTCACCTGCAGGTGACCTGTTTGGTGCTCATGGCGGCGGGGACACGGGCTGAAGTCGCACTGAACTCTCAGGGCCTCCACCGCCGCGGCCGAGCCCGGCCCCGCCCGCCCGCGCAGTTGCGTCACTCTACCGCGCACCACCCCCGCGCGTGCGTCACCTATAGGGTGCCGGCCGGAAACTTAGCCGTCACAATTAGTTCCGCCGGGGCGTGGAGCCGGAAGGTCCTTACTCCTTAGCCCTCCGGGTTCACGTTTCAAGACTACGGGGCGGAGCGTGTCTGGCATCCTAGACTTGCCAGTCATCTGCCACATCTTCCAAGACAGACTTTTTCAAAAGTAGTTTTATTATTTATTTTTATCTTATGGTATGAGTGTTTTTGCCGGCATGTATGGCTGTGCACCATGTGGGGGCAGTGGCTCAGCCAGATGAGGGAGTTGGATTACCTGGAACTAGAGTTTCAGCCGGTTGTGAGCTGCCATGCGGGTGCTGGGAACTGAACTTTTGGACCTCTGCAAAAGCCAGTGCTCCAAACCACTGAGACATCCTCTAATAAGAATATTTTATTTTTTTTAGTAATTTCATTATGTATTTTGATCATATCCATCTTAAATAGCCCCTCTCCCTCTGGTCTGTTTATGAAAACACATGCATAACTCAAGGCAGAAACCTGAAGACAAAAATTGAAGCAATAGGGGGCTGGAGAGATGGCTCAGAGGTTAAGAGCACTGACTGCTCTTCCAGAGGTCCTGAGTTCAATTCCCAACAACCACATGGTGGCTCACAACCATCTGTAATAAGATCTGGTGCCTTCTTCTGGCTAGCAAGCATACAGACAAAACACTGTATACAAATAAATAAAATCTTTAAAAAAAATTGAAGCAATATGTAACACACACACACACATAATTTTGATTCTTGCAAACTATAGTTGTGTTGTCTGCTTTGAAAAAGTTATCTCCCCATTTATTGTGTTAAATTGGCATTGCATAGAAGTTAACAGTATATTGGCCTGGAAACATTATATTTATTTTTTCCATTTGTATAAAGGTAGTGCAGTGTATTAAACATGTAAATAAGACATCTATGTCAACAACCAACCCTGCAATCAAGGCTCAGGGAACATCATGGAAAGAAAGGCAGAAAGAATGTAAAAGCTGGAGGTGGGAGGAATGCTAAGAAATGTTGTCTTGCCGGAGAGTGGTGGTGCACGCCTTTAATCCCAGCACTCGGGAGGCAGAGGCAGGCAGATCTTTGCAAGTCGAGGCCAGCCTGGTCTACAAGAGCTAGTTCCAGGACAGGCTCCAAAGCTACAGAGAAACCCTGTCTCGAAAAAACAAACAAAAAAGAAGAAATGCTATCTTCTTGTCACGCATAGTATTAGACACATGAATACACAGCAGGCGTGGCTGTCTGCGCAAGACTGGGCCTGTGGCCAGGTGCGGTGGTGCACGCCTTTAATGCTAATCCTTTAATCTGGAGGCAGAGGTAATTAGATCTCTGGGAGTTTGAGACCATCCTGGTCTACACAGACTAGCCAAGACTTCATAGTGAGACTTTTTCTGGAAGGAAAAAAAGGTTGGGCTCATCAGCATTCCATCACAAATGGGGAAGGGCTCATAAGGATCCACCCTCCTCACAGTGGGCTCTAAGCAGTTAGTGGTTGCTGGGAGAGGGGAGTCTTATTCCCTCTTATTCCTTGGTGGTGCAGCCACTAGCAAGTTGCCCTTGCTCAAGTAAATGATCCTTTCCATGCATGCAAAAATCGTGTATGATCACAAGTATCTTGAGGGAGGAAAGAGTTTATTTCAGCTTACAGTTCTATGCAATTAGAGAAACAATTAATAAATAGGACCTCCTGAAACTGAAAAGCTTCTGTAAAGCAAAGGACACGGTCAACAAGACAAAACGACAGCCTATAGAATGGGAAAAGATCTTCACTAACCCACATCAGACAGAGGTCTGATCTCCAAAATATGCAAAGAACTTAAGAAATTGGTCACCAAAAGGACAAATAATCCAATAAAAAAATGGAATCTAAACAGAGGAATCTAAAATGGCTGAAAGACACTTAAGGAAATGTTCAACATCCTTAGTCATCAAAGAAATGCAAATCAAAACAACTCTGAGATTCCATTTTACAACTGTAAGAATGGCCAAAATCAAAAACACTGATGACAACTTATGCTGGAGAGATTGTGGGGGAAAGGGAACACTTTTGCATTGCTGGTGGGAATGCAAGCTGGTACAACCACTTTGGATGTCAGTGTGGCGATTAGGAAACAATCTTCCTCAAGACCACTTTTGGGTATATATCCAAAGGATGCTCAATCGTGACATAAGGACATGTGCTCAGCTATGTTCATAGCAGCATTGTTTGTCATAGCCAGAACCTGGAAACAACCTAAATGCCCTTCGACCGAAGAATAGATAAGGAAAATGTGGTATATTTACACAATGGAGTACTACACAGCAAAAAACAAACAAACAAACAAAAAAAAAACCGACATCTTGAATTTTGCAGTAAAATGGATGGATCTAGAAAACATTATTTTGAGTGAGGTAACCCAGACCAGGAAGACAATTATCACATATTCTCACTCATAGGTAGTTTTTTAAACATAAAGCAAAGAAAGCAAGCCTGATATAGGAGGTCCTTCTGTATTTGTGTTGCTTTCATTGGTTAAATAAAGAAACTGCCTTGGCTTTTTGATAGGGCAGAACTTAGATAGGCAGAAAGACAGAACAGAAGGCTGGGAGGAGGAAGGCAGACAGGGAGAGCCGCCATAAAATCGCTAGGTCAGAGGCGCTGAATCTTTCCCAGTAAGCCATGACCTGGTGGTGATACACAGATTAACAGAAATGGGTTAGATCAGGATGTGAGAGTTGGCCAAGAAGAGTAATTAATACAATTTCTTTGTTCTTATTTTGGGAGTTAAGCTAGCCCTCATACTACAACCAGCCTACAAACCATAATCCCAGAGAATTTAGACTACAATGTGGACACTAAGAGAGACATACATAGATATAATCTACGTGGGAAGTAGAAGAAGATAAGATCTCCTGAGTGAATTGGGAGCATGGGGACCTTGGGGGAGGATTGAAGGGGGAAGGGGAGAGGCAGGGAGGGGAGCAGAGCACAGAGAAACCCTGTCTCGAAAAACCAAAAAAAAAAAAAAAAAAAAAAAGAAAAATGTAGAGATCAATAAATATCAATAAAAAATGTTATAAAAAAAACCCTGGCACATTAAGTAAAGTTTATTAAGACACATTACCTCAGCCCATTTTTTTTTAAATAGGGTTAACATTTCTTTCTCTTTTTCTCTGTTTCCGTGTTGGGGATTTACAAGGGCCCTACCAACCGAGCTAGCGTCCCTGACCCTAGCCTGAAAGTATTAATTGTGTGGGTTTTTTTTTCTCTGAAAACATAAAAATAAAAAAGGTCACCCCCCCAAATCTAAGAGCCTCTCTGACTAGTGGGAAAACACAAAACTAAATATGAATAATCGACTAGAGAGTTCTGTACTGAGTTCAAATGAGCTGTTTATTGTGGGAAGGAAAACGGCTCGGCCCAGACACATCTTCTTCACCATGACCCACAGTAAGTGATTTAGATAGTGGCCCTCTCCTTTTACCACAGAAGCAAGCTGTGCCGATCCTCTGCCAACCTCATCCAGTTGAGTAAGGTCTGAGAAGTGCCAGAGGAGTTGTGTGACCTCTGCACTTGCCATGAGCAGGGAGGCTGACATTCCCTTCGCTGGCAGCATCGAAGACATTTGATCCTGCCCTGTGTAAACTCTACCCCTCCCTTAGCATCCCATACAGAGACTCCAGCCCCCTGCCAGGAGAGCAGCTGTCCAGAAGATGAAGATGAGGAGAATCTAGACCACACAGTGGAAGAGGACGGGTCACAGAAATCTGAAGGTAAAGGCATTGGGGAGCAAACAACAAGAAATAACAACCACAACGTGGCCCGGGCAGTGGTGGTGGCGCACGCCTTTAATTCCAGCACTCCGGAGGCAGAGGCAGGTAGATCTCTGTGAGTTTGAGGCCAGTCTGGTCTACAAGAGCTAGTTCCAGGACAGGCACCAACAGCTACAGAGAAACCCTGTCTCAAAAACAAACAAACAAACAAACAACAACAAACTGGGCGGGGCAGTGGTGGCACACGCCTTTAATCCTAGCACTCGGGAGGCAGAGGCAGGTGAATCCCCGTGAGTTTGAGGCCAGCCTGGTCTACAAGAGTTAGTTCCAGGACATCTAGGACTGTTAACCCTGTCTCGGAAAACAAAGAAAAAAAGACACCCCCCCCCCCCCCCCCCCCCCCCCCCCCCCCCCCCGTCATTCTAGAGAAAACTGACAAAGAGCTAGAGGCAAGTTAGAGGAGTCTGCTCAGGCAAGCGTCTGCTGCCGACACTCCAGAGAAACTTTCTGTGTGGGTGTCAAGCTTCAAAGCTGAAACAACAGGGCTGAGCACAGGGACTTTGAGAAGGAACAGCAGGCCTCAGCCGCCTAACTTCTTTAAAGACAACTCTGCCTTCCTCGGCTGTGTCTCCAGCCCTCTCCGGAGGCTATGTGAGGGGACCGCTCCACGACCAGGAGTCAGGCACACCCACCCTGCTGGTGAAAGGACACACAGGTCGTTTGTAGCTGGCACACCTCAATAGAGTCTGATGAGGATGCAGCATTCTGTACACAGCCAGGAACACAACTCTGAAGAGTTTGGCTAACTCTGAAACAAGTTCCCTTCCTTACCCTTCCAGGTGCCACTGCACCCATTACTAGTGAATGCTGTGTGCGGAGCGAGGCCAATTCGTGGGTCCCTACATCCTTCCTCCTCTGTCTCATAGCTCTGCCTGCTACAAGACAGGCCTGGCTACTCTAAACGCTAAAGGAAAGAAAAGAAAGAAAAGCAACAATAAAACCCCCTTGAACTATTTCAAGTACTTAAGGATGACTGCTGAGAGCAAGCAGCCACTCTGCTGGGACCCTGGCTGGGGGCTTTGAGAGCACTTTGTACTGCTGGTCTCTTAGGTGCTCAGCAGGAGCCCCCCTCCTTCTGCGACAGATTTAAAATTTTTTACTACTATTTAATGTGCACTGGTTTGGCTGTTGTTTTTATATACATTGTAAGAAGA